TGAGATAGAGAGACCAGTGCTGTTGCCATCAATGAGAAGGCTCTATTTAGTGAGAGGTTTTTTATTTCAGAAGATGTAGGGGAATATGCCTTGGAATTCCTGAAACAATTGGTTTTAATTTGTTCACAGAGGAAAAATAATGTTAAATAGGCACCATTTTCTCAAGTGAAATCTTTTCATAGCATACTGAATAATATTTTAATTGTTTTTATATAGAGAGAAAGAGAGAGAGAGAGAGAGAGAGAGAGAGAGAGAACGAGAGCACATCCAGGTGCCAGCATGTGTATCACAGTGTATGTGTGGAGGTCAGAGAACGCCTTTGTGAGCTCACAACCCCTACCTTTTTGAGGCAGAGTTTCTCTTGTCTCTGCTGTATAGAGAGATCTGGGCTAGCTGGTCCATGAGCTTCCAGCCAACTGTTTCCCGCCCCCAGCTCCCATCTCTGGAATTCATGCTGTAATTACAGATGCATGCCACCACATATGTGGGTTCTGGGACCAAACTCAAATCATTGGGCTTTCATGGCAAACACTTTTTCCCACTGAGAAATCTCCCCAGCCTTTAGAGAGTGACTTTGTAAACCTACATCTGCAGGTTTAATTTTAACACAACTCCCCTAATCTATAAACAATAAGGCAAAATGGTTTGCATTCTAGGAATCCTATTTAAATTTAAGCACAGTCACTGCTTGCTATCTGCAGGGGACTGGGTTTAGGATTCCAGCTAATAAACAGAATCCATGGATGCTCAGGTCCCTTATATGAAATACATAATATCTGCATATGAGCTATTCCCATCCTCCTGTGTGTGTTTTACTTAAAAAGTAAAATGAAATGGTGTATCGCTATCTTGCCAAGACTGTCTCACTCTGGGCTCAAGCAGTCCTCCTGACTCAGCCTCATAAGTGGCTGGGACCAACAAGTGTGTGCTATCGTGTCTAACTTTCCCCACAGACTCTAAGTCATCTCCCATATATGTTCCCTAGATACGTACAATTCCAAATACAATCTAAGTGCTGTGTACATACATGTGACACTTAGGGAGTGGTAAGAGAAGGGGCTAGATGTGCTCATTACATAGTTTTCGTTTTCCTCCTTATTTTCAGCTCTTATTTGTTCAAATCCATAATGCGGAACCACAGAAATGGAGAGTTAGCCAATTGTAATAGTTTTCAGTTTTGAATCTTCTCAGGTCATGAGAGCCGTCTATGTATTACATGAAATAATACGTAAACATAAACAGTTTGGGCTTAAAATAGTCTTCAAAGAGGAAAGTTCAGTGCAGTCTGAGGAGATCACATTTCTCTCGTTTTCTTCGTACTTCTTTTACTGGTCTGAAAGATCTCCTGTAACCCAGGCTGGAATGTAGCTTCTTATCTAGCTGGGGAGTCTTTGAACTGAACTGTTAGCCTCTGCCTCCGAGTGCTGGGATTACAGGTGTGCACCGGTGCCTAATTGATGTGCTAACGATGGGAGCCAGGCTGTTGAGCCAGCACTGTACCAACTGCACTACATTCCAGCCTGTTGTGCCTCTTTTAAAACATCTAAACTATTTAGTAATTCACAAATTACATTTTTGGCTTTGCGGCAGGGGTGTCTGTCTGTGAAATGTGTGTTTGCATATGTCTATGAAGTAGGTATGTTTGCGTATACGTGTATGTGAAGTGTGTGTACCTGTGAAGTGTGTGTGTATGTGTGTGTGTGTGTGTGTGTGTGTGTGGTCAACGTTAGGTGCCAGTATTTTCGGTTCTTTTTTATCTATAGTTCTTATTCAGTTCTATAGCTTGCTAGCTTATTTTTTAAGACAAGCCTCTCACTGAACCTGAACCTCTCAGCAGTTTCAGCTAACTAGCTGGCCAATGAGCCCCCAAGGTCTGCCTGTCCCTGCCCCGGCTCCAGCTTTGGGGTTACACATATGTACCACCGAGCCTAGTTTTTAGTGGGTATCAGGGATCTGAACTCACGTCCTCGTGAAAGCACTTTAGCGACTGTGAACCATCTTCCCAGCCCACTTCTCTCGGCTGGGGGGAAAAATAAACTTTAGTAACCCTCTTAAAATCAAAGCTGGACGTTTTCCAGTCCTGAAGCAGAAAGAGATAACAACGTGTTGGGCTGTGGTAATACATGTAATCAGGTGCTGAGATCCACTAGGATCAGCAGTTAGATGCTGGCCTGATGCTCGTTGTTCTTCTAAAGTACCAGTCTCACAAAGCGAGTCTTGCTTCAGCCTGTCATTAGAGCCTTTACTCGTTCCAGGATATTCGAAATCAAAGACTCCACCGCAAGCTTCGAAAAGCTGAACTGTCAAAACTGCAGCAGACCCTGAACGCACTTAATAAGAAGGCAGCGTTTTATGAAGATCAAATTAATTATTACGACACCTACATAAAGACTTGTGTAGACAACCTAAAAAGAAAGTGAGTTCATGGTCATTGACTCTGTCGTGCTTTGTATGGGGAGACTACAGTACTGGTGGTGGCCTGCGTCGGTTTGGGAAGCGTTCTGGTTTTGTTTCTACTGTTAATAAAGACCATGACCAAAGCAGCTTGGAGAGGAAAGGGTTACTTGGCTTACATACCATCCCAGTCCCAACCCATCCTTGAGGGAACTCAAGGAGGACCCTGGAGGTAGGAACCAAAGCAGAGAATACAGAGGGGCGTTGCTTACTGCCTTGCTCCTCATGGCTTGCTCAGCCTGCTTTTGTATAGAACCCAGGACTGGCAGCCTAGGGCTGACACCACCCACAATGGGCTGGACCCTCCCTCATCATTTACTAATTAAGGAAGTGTCGCACAGATTTGCCTACAGCCCAGTCTTATGGAGGCGTTTCTCAGCTGAGGCTCCCTCAAGTGACTTGAAAATCTCAAGTGACTGTAGATTGTGCCAAGGTGACAGAAAACTATCCAGCACATATATTACTTGATTTAAGAATGTCTATGAGGAACGGGATTCTGTCTACCTGATAGACTTAGATAAGTCAGGTATTTGCTAATTGCATACAGCAACTTAATAATTTAAAACCTAATGATTTAAAATTCCTTGTTGGCCGTTTTTTAAGTCATTACTGACACAATGGGCTAAATTTGGCAGCTCTCTCAGATCCATTAGAATACAAATTATAGATTTTTATATACAATATAATGACTCTCAGTGACTATTCCTTGCTGATAATTATTCTTATCACCAGACTGGGTCAATGCTGATTAAACTTTAATTATCCATTTAGATATGTGATACAATATTTTCAGATAACCTTCGTCTGCGGAAGAGCAGGAGGAAACGATACTGTGTAGAAAAATCGATGGGATCACTCATAGGAAGTCTGGTGAGGGAAGTTTGCTCATCACCTCACTTGGGCCCACTCTTCATTCGCTTGGGGACTGTGCAGATTTTGCTTTAACACTAGACCCAAGAAGAAGAAGTCAATCAAGCAGATTTTCAGCAGCAAATGCTTGTTAGTGGTTTGTTTCACATGGCGTTTACAGCAACTTTGAGCCACAAACTATAGTCCCGATGTGGGTTCTGAGTCTAGCATACATCATGTGATCTCGATTTTCTCATATTTAACCTGGGATCAAGAGTGGCAGCTTCTCAGGTGTTGCTATGGAGGCTGAACGAAATGATTTATAGCGAAGGAATGCATTAATGTCAAAGCCCTGGGAAGCTGCTCATTTTGGAAGACACAAAGTAATATGTATAAAGTTTGCATTTGGAGTGGTGCTAGCCATGTAGTGTTTACTAAATTAGAGAAGTTTTATTGGTACCTCCATGTTAGAACAGAAAGTCCATGTAATTACTCCAGGGCTACTTGCAGTGACTTATTAGGCAGACACTTAGTTCAGAATGCCTGAGAACACAGCATACATTTTATTTTAAAAGCCAACTTCAGTCACTGAGGAAATGCAGTTGGGTATAGGGATTCCAGAGCAAGGGGACCTTTTTCTCCTTTTATTGGGAGAGGAAAAAGCACAGGTCAGTACAGGGGAGCCCCCTGTGAACAATGGGGTTACTGCGTGTGGCTGCCGAACTGCCTGGAACGTCTTGACAACAGGTGGTTGTTCTCATTTGCTCAGAAATTCTCGGAGATCAATTAAACTGGACGGAAAAGCAGAACCCAAAGGAACGAAGAGAGTGAAGCCAGTGAGGTACACAGCAGCGAAGCTGCATGACAAAGGTGTCCTGTTGGGCATAGACGACCTGCAAACCAACCAGTAAGTAGAGCCACCCTCAGCTCACACCCAAGCTGAGTAGGCATTCTCAGGCTTCCCTGGGTGGCTCAGAGGGCTTTGTTCTATCAAAGCTTAGCACAGTGTACAGATCACTAGTCTTACTCCCAGAGACCTTCAGCATCTGGTGCTGATGTGATTGGTCCTAGAAAGGGTGCGTATCTAGAAGTCGTGTGTTCTTTTGTTTGTCCCGTATGGATCCTCAGGTCTTCTCTTGGTCCCTTCCAAAGAACTGGGTCAGAGCAGTGAGCATAAAAGGCTGCCTTCTGATTCGTGCAAGAGCCATCGACAGTTGCTAAACAGTGTGGTCAGACCCACGAGCTGTGCCAGGCCCTGGTCAAAACCAACTCCAAGAGAGTGCTACAGGAGTGTGAATTCAAGACGAACCCACCAGGCACAGCCCCAATAGGCACACGACGCATGCAGGGGACCATGAGCTTCATATCTATCCCTCTCGCCTTCCTTTCTCTCGAGAAAAGTCAGCCACTGGCTTTGGCCTTCTCTCTGACTCTACTTCTACCCTATCCCCACTGCCTTTTAGGCCTGACCACAAAACCTGACTAAATGAGCTCAGAGAACACTCCTCTTTCTCTCTGGAAGTTTCTGTAAAAGTTACTATCTACTATACTCTGCTGCCCCAGCAGTAGTATTATAGGTCAATGTCAAGGGTCACTCCTGCTCTACATACAGTAGGATAGGTCAGTGTCAAGGGTCACACCTGCTATACAACAGTAAAGGTCAATGTCAAGGATCACACCTGCTATACAACAGTAAAGGTCAATGTCAAGGATCACACCTACTATACAGTAGTAAAGGTCAATGTCAAGGGTCACACCTGCTATACAGTAGTAAAGGTCAATGTCAAGGGTCACACCTGCTATACAGTAGGATAGGTCAATGTCAAGGGTCACACCTGCTATACAGTAGGATAGGTCAATATAAAGGATCACACCTGCTCTACAGTAATACAGGTCAATGTCAAGAATCACACCTGCTATACAGTAGTAAAGGTCAATGTCAAGGGTCACACCTGCTATAAAGTAGTATAGGTAAATGTCAAGGGTCACACCTGCTATGCAGCAGTAAAGGTCAATGTCAAGGATCACACCTGCTATATAGTAGGATAGGTCAATGACAAAAATCACACCTGCTATTTACCTTGTGAGAAAAGCATCTAGTTCAGATCCCAACAGTGGCCTTCAGACTGGATGTTCAGGAATGGCATGAGGAGCTGATGCAAGTCAGCCTGCCTTAGCCTCTCCTGCACACTGGTCCAAGTTGAGGCTTTGTTTGTTTTTCTTTAAGGGTTTACTTGTGGTTGCCTGTGTCTGACTGTTCCTCTTCAATAGGTTTAAGAATGTTACATTCGACATCATAGCTACTGAGGATGTGGGCATCTTCGACGTCAGATCCAAATTTCTCAGTGTTGAGATGGAAAAGGTGCAGCTCAATATTCAGGTGAGCTGGGATTTTATGTGAGCCACTGGGGCTCTCTGTGCCTTACACAGTCCCTGCCAAGTTTAACTCCTGGAATTCTGGAACTCAGGTGGTGGAAGAAGAGAACCAACAAGTTGTCCTCTGACCTCCACAGCATGCCGTGTGTGTGTGTGTGTGTGTGTGTGTGTGTGTGTGCGCGCGCGCGTGAGTGAAATTTTTTAATTATGAGATTAAAATGAAAATTGTGTGTGATTTAAATGGATAATAATTTTCTTTTTTTCCAGTACTGAAGTTCAAACTCAAACCCTCTCACACACAAACTAGCTTTGTACCACCAAATTATAACTCTGGCCATCTCTCTACCTTCAAGCCACTTTCTTCCATGTAGGCAGTAATTCCCTAAGTGCCACGTCCTGACTACAGCACTATTCACTGTCATTTATGAACTTGTTAAAATGTAACTCTCAGCTCAGAGCTGCCACACCTGAAGTTCCAGGGCTCAGCTCGGTGGTCTGAGTCCAACTGGCCTGTGTTTTTAAGCAGACTAATGTTTTGGAAGCCCCAGTGGGATGTTTTTAAGCTCTGAGGTCACGCAGTTGTACCTTCATCTCTCTGGTTCCAGGACTTGCTTCAGATGCAGTATGAAGGGGTGGCTGTGATGAAGATGTTCGATAAGGTGAAGGTGAACGTGAACCTCCTCATATACCTGCTCAACAAGAAGTTCTACGGGAAGTGAGGTGCCTGCAGGGAGCGAGCGCGTGGATTCTCTATCACCTGCGTTGAGAAATGAGTTTGTCTAGTATTTTTGTTTTAAAACATGATTGAAATCACTGCTTACAAATGTGTGATTTTTTTTTCAAAAGACCAAAACTGTTCTGAAGAATGTAGCCACGTGCCTTTTTGATAATTGGATACTAGGCCAGAGTGAGAGACAAGGTGGGCAGGTGCGACAGACACACACTGTACGGTGGCACTGGTACTCCAGCTGGAAGCTCGGAAAACCCTGTGATTTGTTTTAAAGTAGAGGGAGAAAGACTAGCTGACTAGGGACAAATGTATAAACCTATTTTCCTATGAAAAAAAATTTAAATGTCCCACTTAAATGATGTAATTCTTCATAGATTGTTTTTTTATCTGTGGAGAAGTAGAGATCTAATTAATTTGTAATGAATTATTTAGACATATAGCTCTAAGCCCTGTCTTCTGGGAATTATCGGTTTTAAAGAGAACTTTTGTGCAATTCAAAATGAAGTTTTTTATAAGTAATTGAAAGTGATAATACAATAACACTTTCTGTATAAAAGTATATATTTTATGTGAGTTATTCAATTTACTCAAAGTGCACTACTGCCTCATGGAACGGCTCCTGTTTGGGGAGTCACATGGACCACCGAGAATAGCAGTTATAGACCCCCCCCCTCCACCCCTCACAATTTATCTGAATACTTCAATTGTGCCTCTCAAATTTTTTGTAATGCTATAAAATCAGTATCTAGATGGTTTTTAAATGTATTCTTTGAAAATTGTTTTCTGTAAAATAAATGTTACTTAATTACATTAACGTGGTTTTTAGGTTGTCTTAATAAATCCAGCTCACTTGATGGGTGAAAGACTCCTGGTAGAACTTTTTAGGAAAAGAAGTCATTTCCCCAGAGCTATATAACTTAGGGTGCAGAAGATGCAGCTGAAGGAGGGCCAGGACCTCAAGTCCAACCATTTATAGATGAGTGGATCCACGGGCAATCCAGAGATCCCTGCTGGCCAGTTGATTTTGTACTGACCACTCATTCCCAACTAGAGAAAAAGGGAACAGAAGTTCAGAATAAAATATTTTAAATTACAGGGGTCACTTCCGCCTACTTCCTATTGGCCAATGGTAGGTGACCACCAGCTGGAGTCATTGCCTCAGTCTGTGTGGTTATAACAAAATACCTGAATCTGGGAACTTTGTAAAGAAAAAGAATGCTTATTTAACTGAAAGTTCTGGAAGGTCTGAGCAGAGTAGCAGAGTCTATTATACAACAGCACATGAGGAAGACACAAATACCTGGGGTACCCTTGCTTTCCAACAACCCACCCTGCTTGCTGTCACCAACCTCATCCAACAGACACAATGCACCCCAAGCCCTAATCTAGTCTCTTGAAGACAGTACTCTATTCATGAGGGTAGAGCGCCTATGATTTAATTAACCCTTAAAGCTCTCACTGTTTCTCAACACCTATACTGAGACTCAAATGTCAATATAGGTTCAACATGCAGATGCGGACAAACTGCATCCAAATTGTGACAGTCCCTAGCTAAGCAGCTAAGTATCCAGTTAGAACCAAGAGTGGCGCAGGAATGGTTCTGTTATTAGAGAAAGAGAAAGAGGAAGAGAAAGAGAAAGCAGAGGAAGGACTTGGACCCTCAGGCTAGACACTTAGCTTTATTTTCCTTAGCGATTGTAAAATATGCTTATTTGAGATAAATGAACTTAAGCTTAAGAGTCAACAGAATTTAGAAAACTCTGGTAAGCAGACTTTTAATTTTATAATTATTTCAGACCACATTTTTTAATTGTTTAAATTTTTATGTATGTGAGTGTTTTGACTGCATGTATGCATGCATGCCTGGTGTCCATTGTTGTCAACAAAGGGCAGTCTGTGAAACCTTTAGAAACATCCTTATCTTGGGCAACAGGAAAAACCCTCCTGGCTCTCCCTAAGGTTCCTGGCATGATCCACGTGTCCTTACTGAGGACACAGGTGTGTTGTCAGAAGGCATCAGGTCCTCTGGAACTGGAGCTGTGGATGGTGACAAGTCACTGTGCAGAGCCCTTAAAGTTGAACCTGGGTCCTCCGCAAAAGTAGCAATTGCTGTTAACTGCTGAGCCATCTCTCTAGCCCCGAGTAGCGTATATTTTTGACAGATACTACAGAATAATGCTATCACAAGTTGGGGGTGGTTTGTTTTTGTTTTTGTTTTTGTTTTGGTGTTTTTGTTTTGTTTTTCCACATCACTAGACTTAATGTGGAAAATCAGAGGAATTCTGGTAAGTTTCCCCTTAGCAGCTCTCTCTCTCCCTACTGCCAATATTGCAGAGGGGGTGTGGCCAGGAGCTGCAAGGATGAGGGCATGACTTAGCCCCCCTTGTGCTCCAGGAAGGACTTGGAGTGGAAATGTACGCAGAGGAGCCCAGGTAAGGGAGCAGTGTTTGGAAACACGAGCCAGTCTTCCTGGCATCTTTAAAAAGAACCTCTCTTGTTCCAGCAGCAAAGATGACAAGCCGCCTATGTGAACAAGGATGCTTGGGTCACGTCTGTGTCCTCAGTAAGGACAGTTAGATCATGCCAGTGACCTTAGGGAGAGCCAGGATTTTTCCTGTTGTCCAAGATAAGGATGTTATTAAAGGTATCCGAGATTGCCCTTGGTTGAGATGGGTGAGAGCCGTAGCTAAGTGGATGGCCAGAGGAGGACAAATGTAACAAAGAGAAGGGCAGCAGCAAGCATGTGGCCTCACGTGCCTCTGAGCTAAGTCTGTAGATTATTGGAGCCAAAGCTGGGCCACTTTTAGGACTGAACGTCCTCTAGCCAGGGAGCCGATTTCCTTTATGTCTCCGAAGCCCTGACCCGCTTCTTCCCAATTCCTCATGCCTTTTCTTATTCAGTGACATTTTTAAAAATTTCTTAAGTGTGTGGAGAAAGCGTATGTGTGCATCTCCGTGGGCCTGCATTTGCCTGTGCATGTGCGTGTGGAAACAGAGGGTAAGCTTTGGATGTCTTCCTCTATTCCTCTTCCAATTATTCTTGGAGATAGGGTCTCTCGTTGAATCTACAGTTTGCCTTTCAGCTAGGCTGGCTGGCCAGCCCCAAGGCTCCACCTGTTACTACCGCACTACTGTGATTATAGGCATGCACCTCCACATTCAGCCTCTATGTGTGTGCTGGGACTAGAACTCGGGCCCTCAGGCTTGTGCAGCAGGCCCTCTCCCCACTGAGCCATCTCCCCAGTGCCCCCTCCCCCCACTCTTGTCTTTATAGACCACTAACACTAAACACTGGAACTATAATGAACTTTACAGAAATGGTCCCCATATTTTGAGGTAATCACCATTAGTCAAGAAGGTTGTGTTTCCTTAACTTCTCCCATGACACCTGGCATTTTAGTTCATTTTTATACAAGGTCTCACAGTACAGTCCTGGCTGACCTTAAACTCGCAGAGATCCACCTGCCTCAGACTCCCAAGTGCTGGGACTAAAGGTGTGTGCCACCACACCTGGCCTGTGCCTGGCATTTTAAAAAGACCAAAACCAGGACAGCACCCCTGCCCAGACAGGGAACACCTGTCCCCATTATTCTGACGTCAGTGGCTAAGTAAGATACTAACCTGTGTGATCATCGTGTGGTATAAAAGATGAGAACTGTGATGTGTTGGCCCCGGGGCGGGCAGGCGGGTGTGTGTGGATGGACAGTAATTAGGATCGCTATTCATGGTGTGACTTTTATGACTTTTGTGGTTAAGTGGCACTTAGCGGTATTCCGCAAACATCTCAAGAAGCAACCACAGAGCTGTGGGTGGTGGAGAGTGCTCTGTATTGTGAAAGCCCCTTCGTGTGTATTAGACCTTACTGCTAGTTTGCTTCATTATATCTGGTACTGAAACTAGGACCTGGTGATAGCTTAAGACAGAGTCTCTAGGCATTAGAGCCATGGTTCTCAACCTTCCTAGTGCTGTGACCCTCTAACACGGTTCCTCATGGTGTGGTGACCCCCCCCCACCATAAAATTATTTTCATTATTACTTCATAACTGTAATTTTGCTACTGTCATGAATTGTAAGGTAGGTAGATATTTTTGGAGATAGAGGTTTGCCAAAGGGGTCGTGACCCACAGGTTAGGAACCACTGCTTCAGAAGTTGTGTCT